GGCTTTTGTTCTCAAGTCTCAAGCTAGCATGTACAAGTTTCTATATGGACTTCTATGCAGTTCCTCACAATATGTACTTTCAAGTTAAACATCTATTTTTTATAGTCTATTTCACCTCTTCTGTGTAATTAGCTGTTTGATTAATTATTTTAGTTCGTCTATACTATAATCAGGGGGAGTTAATATTTCAATACTACAAGATCTGATGATCCCACAACAACTAGATGGTGCTTTTAATAGATTATCCTCAACCTTAATGGATTCAATTTCCACCACAAAATGGAGAGCTTCTTTTAAAGATGTACACCTACTTTGCTTCAGTCTAATTTTCATATCCTTGTCAAATGACGAATTTATTGACATATGAGCAATTTCCAGATGCTATAATAAACGAGAAAAAAGTTTCTTCTTTCCTATATTTCCTGTTCCAGAACTTTGATCTGGATATTTCTTTTTATTGCATCACTCCAAACCTGTTGGATAAAGCATCTATCAATGCTAGACCATTGTTACAGCTCTTAGCTGGATGGTTAATTAATATCGTCAAAGCCAATTCTTTAAAATGGGCAGCAAGATAAACAGCTTGTTGTTCACTATTCCATCTGTTTACTCTGGAAATGATTTCTAACTGAGCCTGGTATCATTATTATAGTTCCTTACCATTATAGCCAGTTTATTACTCGGTTTGCCAATGTTGAACTGATCAGCTAAATTCTGGAACTTCATTTGGCAATGTCAAGACTGAAGTAGTCCAGGAAGGCCTTGTAATAACAAAGGGCACAGGAGTATTAGTAATAGGTGTAGACTAAATAAGTTCTCCTATTTCATATTTTATAATAAATGGTATTTTAGGTTGGAACTCTTGAGCAAATGCAAAAGGAATATGGCTGGTTTAATCTTCACTTCACCAATTCGTTTTCCAAGTGTTTTATTCTGCTACTGATGTTCTTTTCTACCTCAATAATATCTTTTTTTACTTCTTCAACTTTGTCATTATAGCCTTGCCTGCTTTTTTGATGCTTTTTGTACTTTTTCAATCTTATTGTTGTAACCCCTCTGTATATCTCCAAATGCTTCACCATTCTTGCTTTTATTCAGAGTTAATTTCATTTTTAATTTTTATTTAAATATTATGTCTCTCTTTCAACTCCTTTCTTACATTCTCATCTCTTGATCATCTTTCAAGTTTCTGTCTCATTCTTATTGGCTCTCTTTTCATAATCTTATAATTTCCAGTAACGTTTAAATCTCGCTTCTGAATCTAGTTGGCACGTCAACTTGCTGAAATTGAGCCAAGTTATATTTTGTTTTCACCAAAATAATCCCACTTTTGACATAACTTGACACAACGTTGTTATTTTATTGGGCTGGTTCTTTTGAATTATTTGGTAACAACAGGCTAAGTGCAGTTCATATAATATATTAAAAAATTAGTTTATTTCATTATTAGCGTTGTTCAGTGCTGTAACTTGTGGGCCTAAGTGACTTTACAATGACGTTCAAACAGAAATACCTCGCTAATGGTGCAATATACGTCTAACGTAAAGCAAAAATTAACTTACTTGTAAAATTTCACAACTATTCGATTGAGCAACTGAATATATGTGATAACTAACACTGATACAAGTACTTCACTTAAGCTAAATACTTCATTGAACAAAACTGACTGACTCCCTTCTCATTACTTATCGTATTTATAACATAGTATTTTTACTAGACACTTAGTACAGTCTTTTGATCACTATATTTCTAAAGGTTCTAGTTATTCTGAAACTAATTCAGCGTCATACAGCTTCTATATCACATTTAAATTAAAACGTCGAAAATACAGCTTATTAACAATTCTTGTGGAAATCATTGCACTAGAGAATACTGTTACGACAGCGGTAGTCACGTGACTCTGGTAACACGTAATGCCTTCTAGAAAGATCGGGGAACATCACGAATAATCCAGTATTTGCTAGACACCCTCTATTCTTGTATATAAGTGCGCCAGACAATTAATCGGAATAGAATTGCAGACAGACAGAAACGGACAAATGAGTCAAGCGCGGTAGTAAGTAAGTGCGTCAATCATTCCCTGTGAATCATAACGTGTTTTTATAAAATTAGTTAAGTTAAATTGGCTGTGGAATTTAAGTGTATTGCAAAGTTGAATTGAGAAAGAATAAACTAGTTTTATTTCAGAAATGACTTGTGTCGCTAAAGTTTCATCGGAAAGAAATTATACGGGAAATTAACTAACGACCAGAGACGTAACAATACTATACAATTAAGCGAAAGTATTTCTTTTCAAAGCATTCAAGCATTACTTTTGAAGCAGGTATTTTACTGTAATATGGAAGATTAGGCCATAATTGTTGTACTAATTACTAATAAATATTATGCTTTTATTTCTTTATTTCAGGCATTGAAGATTCTGCACTTTCAAGATACGATATACGGCACAAACCATGTTTATTTTACTGATGTTATAGTAAAATCAATATTTTTATTAGAATTGTTTGAAAATATAATAACTTGTTTTAGGGGTAGTATTTAACTGTCTACGCAGGAGTAAATGGTTTTTGACTGAATAAATTTTATTTTATATTAATGCTTTTAGTCAGGAAAATTCTTTATTAGAACTATAGGTGGCTCAACATGAAAGTGAGTATGGCGGAGGACGGGGAGTATTTTAGTATTGGTAGTATTATCACTTGCAAAACATGTTTCAGTCAGAAGGTAGAAGGAGAAGTTGTGGCTTTTGATCATCAAACGAAGATGCTCATGTTAAGTATCCTTTTCTATAAGGAAGGAAACTAACTATTCTTTATATCACTTTTGGTTCACAATAGGTAGTCAGTAGACCTACAACAGTACAAGTACAACGCAGTGAGCACTAGTGTACTAATACGAAACTCATATTCTCACTAGTTTAGTAGTTATAACGTTATGGGCTACGCTGTATCATATTTATTAGCCGTTGGTACAATTAGAAGGCCTAGGCGTATTTTTTGGGCTCATTCAGTAGAGTAAATACAAAGCTAGCGTGTAATTACGTTTACTACTGTTGTTCAGAAATATGAGCTAAGATACTGTTAGTTTTACTAAAGTTTGGAAGACAAGATGCACATATTTTCTTCGACAGATTTTCTCTCCATTCAGATTAATGAGATTGTAGAATGGTTTGTTTGATGAGGTTAATGTATATTGTAGCTGGATATGGATCTGAAATGCTATATTTAACTTGGATTATTGATGTTGTTGGTTTTCTTTGTGGGTAAGAAGGTGATCTCAATTGACTTAATATTATGTATAATATGATAATAATTTTCTTTCACCCCACATTTTCATATGTTCATAACTATACATGGATACCCAAATAAATAATAAACTGTGTAATTTAATGATGGGAATAAAAGAAGTTGCTCTTTTATGCTATGTAAAATTCTCTATTTCATATCAAAAAAATTTCCTCTGTTTAAGAAAGGTGTAAATTAAAAAATTATAAGAGTATCCTAGGTCAGAACACCAAAACTGTCTTGCAGGGTTTTTATGCCTATAGTACAAGCAAAGAAAAAATAACACTCATCATTTAAGGGATTATAAAGATAACCTTCTGTATTTGCATTAAGGAGAAAAAGAACATAAATTTACAAATACTTATACTGCTGAGGGAGAAGAAGAGATTACCAAGCTGAAACATTTTATTATAAAGTGAAACTTTTTTTTTTTTTTTTTTTTAAGTTTATGCAGCTGTTGAAGAACCTGTTTTACGAAAACTAGGAAAATTTTGTCTGAATAAATCTTCTAGGTCTAACAAGATATATTTAAAACTTTGAAGCAGCTTAGCTAAGAGCTAGGATGTGTAACTTATTTCTCAAGAATCTCTTGTCTTCTAAGATTCCTGACAATTGAAAAATTGCCAACATGATTTCTATTTTCCAAAAGAAAAGGATAGTTAAGTAAACTATGAGCCTATTAACTTATGTTTAAGATCTTAGAATCTATTGTTAGATGACATTTAGAAAAGCATTTGAAAATTTTTGTCACTTAATTTTTAGCATGGATTTGAAAGTGGATTAATATTTTTGATAAGGCTTCCTTTTGTTGAATGGGGGTCTTTGACTGCTGCATTCTATCTTGGTTTTTAGGAAATGTTGGATAAGGCACATTGCAAAAGACTATTTAGTATATTGGATACTTATCAAAATACTCAAATTTAAAAATGAATAAAACTTGAAAGCAAAGAGTAGTGATAAATTTATTGGCACTTTTGAGATTTGGACAGTGTGACTAATTGAGTCCCTTGAGGCTCTATTTTGGGGCATTTGTTATCATTTGTCATTGATTTTTTTCGCTTTTTGGATTGTAGTGTTCCAAATTTTCATTAATGAAGTTATTTGTTTGTTGTGAATTATAAACTAGTGGGATGGCTTGAAATCATAAGTGCTTTAAGTTTAAGTTCTTTTAAACTTTTTTGGATATGTGAGGGGCTACACTGAATTTTGTTTCAGTCTTTAAGTTAATTGCTTTGTTGATTGAAAGTTGACCTAAATGAACTGAATGGTTTTCTCTAACCCTGTTCTCATGTTCATTCTTGTATTGATCAAAGGTCACACATTAGAGATGCATCTTATCTCTAGTTTGTATTCTGAAGGACAAGCACAGACCATAATTTCAGGACACGTCTACATTAGAAACATGATGTTTAAACTGCCAAAAACATCACCTCACATTTAAGATTTACTGTGTTATTTGATTACATTTGAACTGGGAATTAAGTACTGAAATTTTCAGTATGGTGTAGGTTAATTCATGATAAATGGGCTTAGGCTTAAAGTTATAACAAAATTAAAAAAGACTTATCCCAGAATGTTAACATAGAAAAATATGTTCAGTTAATTTTATTAATCCCATCAAAACTGTTACACAATTATTATTATTTTTTACATTTTCTTTATCAGTGCTGACCAACTGAATATAAATACCAGCCAAAATTCTAAGAATTTATGAGGAAAAGCAATGGAGAATATGTATAAATATGTCAACCATGCTATGTCTGCCATATCCAGTGTTGACAAGGCCTTTCACCCAATAAGAGCTCATCAAGCCAGCTGGGGGGTATGGAAGACTTAGTACAGGTTTAGGTATTATTTATATCATCAGTTGCTTGAACAAAACAAAGATCACATGAGCCACACACTTCACTCATGGTGCTTACAAAACATGTTACTGATCTTCTGCTGTAATTTATTGTTGTTTGATTGCAGGATTGCTGTTCAAGTGAGTTGGAACTACAGAAATAAAAAAAACATAAAATGAAAGAAAATAGATGTAGAAAGGTTAACAGTGGAAATTGTAAATTGAGAAGAACATTAATTCAATAGAATGCCCATTCAAAGGAGAAGAAAATTTAATTTTATTTCATGTTTTTCAACTTTTCATTTCACTCTGCCTTGATGATTTCACTACAGTTATGGTAAGGGTAGAGAAAATAGCAGATAAGCTGTAAAGTTTTACAAAAAACATATCTGGTTAATATTTTTCAGATCCCATATTTTTACACATTGCTTATTTTTATCAAAATAAGGACTCTTTTTAAACATTTCTAGACTGAAAAATTATCTGATATTTCATATAACTGGGAATTTGTTTTTATAAGTATAATATAGGTTGAAAAATCAGAAAGCTTACTGTAATTCTTATAATTTGGCAATTTTAATAAAACGTATATAAGAAATGATCTTAACTTGAACTCAGAATGTCCAAGCAGTACTGGAAAAGGTAATTTGAGTGATATCAACATAGTGAACTTGAATTTTGTAGAAGATGTAGTTGTGAAAAAAGAAGCTAATAGCAATCCCCCTCCACTTCCTCATCTGAACATAGAAAAAGTAAGTACACTATGAAATAGTCTTAAAAAGCTTTGTCAACTGTACTTGCCTTATCATTATTTTTTTGTTAATAAGTAAATGTGAAACAAATTTTTCTAAAGCAGAATAAATGTGTGTAAAGTTTATTTTGAATGTCTAGAAAATTTCCAAATGAAATGAGCCTATTAATATGTCATGAAAGTGATGATCTATAGAATCCCCTGTGAGTTAATTCAGTTGTTTAATGCTTTTTTCACATATATACCTACATACATATAAACAATAATTTTTTTTTAAAGATGGAATATTTCTTGTATACTTTATGGACTTAATTTGGAGCTTTGCTCTGTCTGCTAATGGGACTTTTAAAAGGTTTGTAATGGTCCACATTTTATTAATAGTTGAACAATAGAGCGAATGCTCAAATAGAAGAACGTCAAAGACTTCGCACAGCTTTGGCTTCAGGAGTCAGCCCAGAAGGTTTAAAGTTATTCTTGGCCATAACAAAAACGTGAGTTTGCTTTCTTTTTTTTCCCCATTCTTTCTCTCTACAGTTAAGATATAATTTTCTATCATAATCTGTAGTGAATTTGTTGTTGTAAACTTTGTACAACAAATATTTTTCATGTGATTGCTCTGTTTCAGTCACTTAATTTAAAAAGAAACAGCTACATGAAGTTTTCAAAGTGACTTATGATGCTACATCTAAGATTAATAAAAGCAACAGACAGATGATGGACAGAAAGCCCTTATGTAACGGCAGCTGTTGTTTTTTTTACATTTCAAAAGGAATGTGTACACGTGCATATATACATAAAATACATATTCTCAACGAACATTTAGATGAACAAAAAAAGGGGGAAACAATGATTAATCCATATTATTTCACATTATAATTTGTTTTGAATATTCACTTTAAAAATTTGTTTAATAACCAGCTTGTACATTAGAGACAAAAGTTATTTGTAAATCTCCTTTAATATTCATTGTTATTTGACTTAAAACTACCATTTGTAACAAAAATAGGAAAAAAGATGAGAGTAGAGATTTTCAATGCAGCATCAATAGTATGGCAGGAAAAAAAAGCTGTATTTAATCCATTTATTGTAAATTTCTACTTTTATGGTTATTAAGCACATTCTGACAAGAAAATTTCCTGTTTCCAACAAGCCTACTGATTTTAGAAACCATTCAGGATAGGCTTATAAAAAATACCTACAAGTAGCTAAAGAAAATCTAGCATTTATAAAATTTAAGTCATGTGTGAGTTGGATTTAATTATAATACTGGTAAAGATTTTATTAATTCATGACAATGAAAAGGAAAAATTGAAAAACCTAGATGCATCAGCAGACAAGTCTATGTATTGTTGAGTAACTGATCAATAACCCCCATTTTATTAAAATAAACAGCTAATCACTTTTGAAATCTGTAAACATTAGGTAAAAAACAAAATTGATTTTGTTCTTAAAACACTTTGTGTGAGATCTAATACATTGAAGATTTCCCACCTTGTAATAAACTTGGCTATTATTATTATTGTTGTTGCTTTATTCTTGTCATTCTAGCAAAACAGTTTTGTTTTGATTGACATCATGAGTGATATTGGGCATAGTTTCTTAGTTGTGATAATTGACATTTTAAAATAACTTATTAAGGAAATCTTAAACATTCTTCTTGGAGTTATTCATTTCACTTACTGTTGATGGATTTTTTATTTATTGGATTTTTTTTAATTAATGACATTTAGTTGTGAAAACTGGTATAACCTTCTTGTCCTCATTAACTTGATTACATTATGAGTGCTGCATAGACAGTCAGTTGTATTCCACTAACAGCTGCTTCAATTTATTTTTCTTGCAAATATATATTATTCAAGAAATGAAAATTTAAATGGTTGTAAAGGGGGTTAGTTGTACATCCCTATAAAAAAGTAAAATAATTACATAGCATCAAAGAATATATTTAGAATTTACAGATACTTGGATTTTAATGGGAGCAACTAAACATTTAGATCCTGTTGTCTTACTGTTCTTAATAAAGAATTTTCTTTTAAAATGCTTCTAGTCCGTTATTGTGTTTTTTGATATCTGTCATTAGTTTTTCTTCTCTTTGTTCTGTCCTAACTTACTTTTTATTGAAATACAATTATTTGTATGTTTCTCAACTGGCAAATAATAAACCAGCATTATTATGTTTTTTATGAGTTAACTTTTCACTGAACACAAATGTAAAAATAATTAGAAATGCATGTGAAGTTTTAGCATTTAATACCCTATTATACTGCAGGGGTTTAGAGGGCAAGAAACAATGCTGTTATAAATTAAATTATTAGTTCTCCTAACAGGACATTACTGTCTATGAGTTTTTCTTTTCCAATAGCTTATGAGAGAGAGAAAGTTTTAAAAGAAAATTAGCAGAAGACAGTTCAAATCTTTAATGATTGTTTCTGAATAGAATTTGGTAAACAAAGACAAAAAAAATTCAAAATGATTAATTCCTAATTCTACTTTTTCAAAATCCAGACATGGTAATATGTGTATAGACTTTACAGAGAGTAATTAGAAAGTTTTTTCAAAGGCAGTTGTAAATAGCTGAAAAAAAAAGACAAAAAATTATCCATAACTTCTAAGTGATTGTGTACCAGGGTGCTAAACTTTAAGATGTTTGATAAAATATTTTACAAATTTGTATTCAGTGAAATGTCAGTCTTCCTCTTCATAAAAAAAAATAAAAAAATGTTAAGTGATCATATCGTTCACATTTTGTATACATGTATACATTTAAAACAGCTTTTATTTGTACTTACAGCATAAACGAAGTGACTTGGCAAGGAAAGAATATTGTTGTGATGAATCAAGTTACCATCAGTCCTCCCTATCGACCTGAAGATTGCAAGGGAAAGGGTGATAACAATGCTTTAACACATGTGAAGAAAATAGTGAGTATTATTATTCTTTGCTTATTTAGCTTCACCATGTAACTTCAAACTCGTTTAAGACAATATTGTGAATGGTTTAGTCATTGATACCATATTGTGCACTTTGTTTACCAATTTTACTTTCTCTATGATAACATAGGCCTCCATTGGTTTTATTGTCTTGAAATTTTTACATATTCTGCAGTAATTCCTGTATGCTGAATCCAAAAATGATATCCATTTTTCTCCATCACTTACAGATTTTTCACAAAATGTCATAGGTACTTTTACGTAAGTGAATCATTTTTGTTGAAATCGAATCACATTTTGCTTAAAATTTTTACAACCATTGGCTATATATTTCTCTAGAGCATTTGTGACATGATCGATCGTTCTAGAACCCAAACATCACAAAAACATAATAATAAAAAATAGTCGTTGTGGTAACTGGTTTGCATGTATTTATTGTATAAATTGTAGGTTTACAAATTGACTTGTGATAGTAGGTGTTTTTGGTTTCGGTTCTTGTTTTTTTTTTAGCTTATTACATAGAATTTGTGGATTTGCTTGTCATAAACATATGGGATGGAGTAATGAAAACTTGCATGATTTACATATACTAAATTGGATAGATATTTACCTTAAATTAGAGTTGGTGGTAGGTGGCATCAATTGACTGCTTTCTTTCGAGTCTGTCACTTCAAAATTAGAGATGATTGGCACAAGTAGCCGTTATGTATCTTTATAAGAAACCTAATGAACAAACACAGCGTGTTAGTGATTTTAAATTTTTTTATCTTTTGTATCTAAATGCTTTTTCTAAAGTATCTTTGTAAAAGTTATTTTTGATAGCCCTGATTCTGGATTACAGACTTTCTTTGGAAACAGACTTGTTTAAAGTTAGTATTTCAAAGATGTAATGTAGATGTTTACTGTCTTGTGTGTTATTTTTTTCTTTTTAAAGATCTTATTTTAATGTGTGTCATGTAAATAGCCATCTGGCATTTCTTTATTTACTTTTGGTCAAGACAAGAGTGGTTTCAGAGGGTATAGGAGTGTAATTATTTGAGATTGGTCAATGCTGTAAAGGTGAAAATGTGGGATTATTTTTAACATTAAATATATTTTATATTACACACTTATTTGAAATCTGTAACAATACATTTTTTTTCTGTTATTTAATATGTAAATATAGCTGAAGGAAAATCAGTAAAGCCCTAAATGTTCAGTCTGACTAACATTATATGTTGTGACATCATGCAAGTTTAAAAGTGTAAATTTGCATAAATAAATAATTACATATTGATCATAGTAATAAATTATGACTTTGTGTTTTGAAATTATACATTTGATGGGCTGATATCAGTATGCAATGTTGTTGTGTCTTTATTTCACTTTAGGCCTATGTAATGTCATGGTGTAGCAAGGCAGTTAAAAAACTCAGCATGGTAAGGTAAATTAGATAGTAAAGAAGTATGGCTATACTTAAGACAGTTAAAAGTAAGCTATAATAACATAATGTGGCAAAGAAATACAGATATTTAATATGAAGTTTTCCAAAAAAATTCACTTTTAAACTTATTATTCCTTATTAATTTAAATGAGGGAACTTGCAGCTAAACTTTACAATGTTGTGGCATGTTCTCCCACAAGCTGTGAGGGTAGGTAAATGTTAAACTTCCAGAAATAAAGAGCCAAACATAACACAGTGTTATCTTTGGACTTCTGCTTTGTTATTGTGCTACAAGTATTGTTAATTTCAGTAAATGTTTGAACTTATTAATAGCAGTAGAATTTTACTTTCACACGTTTTTTTAAAGGAATTGAACTTTATTAGGCATCTTCACCTAAACTCAGATTAGTAATTTGTAAAATCCTTTCAAATATGCGAGGACATCTTTTTTTGAATAAAAAAAAGGTCAGTTGCATTAAAATTTGAGTAGCAGGTGTCAAGTGTACCAAGTAATGCAGTTTTGAGTGGGAAAACTCTTATAGCTTCCAGGGGCCACAGACCCCTTCTGCCTTGGCTGCTTTCAGTAAATTTTCACTTTGATCTCTCTTGTCCCTGTTCCTATCAGTTACAGAAATAAGATTAAACAAAACTACCATCAATATTGCAGTTAATCTCACTAATTACTGCTGGGTTTTCTTTGGGTATTATATAAGAAATGAGTGAGTTTCTTCCTATATTTGTAGGTTTAGAGTTAATATTGTAACTGATAAAAACATAAAATTACCCAATATAGTGCAACATTGGACCCAATCTGTTGTGAATGGTATGTAAATGGTAACTTGAAGGATAAAGAAACATGGTAATGTATCATTAAATTGGAGTACAATCTTGTAATCTTGTATATTCACAGATAAACTAATAAACGTTTTTTGTTAATTTGTATAACAGAATTGAGGAAAAACAACACAATTGTACTAGTAGAATATTTTGCACTCAGAAGTATATTTTAACCTTGGTGTTTTTCTTAACAGGTAGAGAAACATGTAAAAGATCAACAGTTACAACAACTTCAGCAGAATTCACAAGCTGCTCCATCCCGGTCTCCACAGCAGCAACCTTCTCTGACTTCTCCCTAAGCTAAGACTGACTGTTACTTCACTGTTATTTCAACTTTCTCAAAAAATAAACCTTACCTGTATTGGGTGGTTAAATTTCTGGTCTTCTCTCTCCACAGATACATTTCCACATACTGTTACTGTTCTTTAATTTGTTACTACAAAAATGCTGTCACAAGCTAGTTCTAAATGTTTTTTTTTTTAAACTAAAGTTTGTGTGCAATTTTTGGATAAAGTTGATTTAATATAATGAGCAAAGCACAACTTTTTTGATTAATTTATATTTGATGTAAAATCAGTATCTGTACAACTCCAGGTAAGTCCATTGTACAAGTTTTGAATTGTACATACCTCAAAAACTGTCTTTTGTCTTTGAAATAAATCCATGTACACAGCATGATTACATTTCAACTTGGTAGACAGCATGTTTGTGGAGAGTTATATATAGCAGTTGATATGAAGCTGTCAAACTGTTTCAAACGTGTGACAGTGGAGGTACAACAATTTTCTGTGTGTGAAGAATAGCATGAAATATTATAGAAATCAACAAAGCTAAAACTAATAGCCTTTAAGTAAATCAAGTTTACGTTTATAAGTGAAATTAACCACACAAGAGCCATGTAATAAATTAATATTGAAATACAAGACACACCATATCTGTAAGATATTTTGGGAATATTAGTTAATGTTCATGTTTAGAATAGCAGAATTGGGAATAATAACACACATTTAGGATATTCATATGAAATTTGTCAGTTTTCTTTAATATTAATATCTGTAAAAAACCTAAAGCGAAGAAAGAAAATTACAGGTCATCACTAGGGTTCATCATATGTATTCAAAGGTTATGTCATATTATACATCAAACAGCATGAAATGGTGATCTTTAAAGTGGAGACTTTGAATGCTGTTTTCAAGTAGTAAAGTAGTCATATGCTGGCGTTAAATATTTTGAAAGTATGTAGTTTGAAGAATAATTTTACTATAGAGCCAAAAAAAAAAAAAGATTTACTCAAGAAAATGTGGTTCAAATATATTGTTAGAACTTACTTGTAGAGGTAGCAAATTTATTTCCAAATCACAACATTATGCTGATAAGAACAGAAGAATGAATTTAGTAGGTAACTTAAATTTATGGGATATTACTGCAAAGTGATAGAATTCAGAAGATTTTGGATTTTTTGTAACTTTCACAGGAAAGTGAAAATGTAGCAAAAATTATTAAATAAAATGTATTTATTTAAACAACATTTCCTCCACAGAGAGTTAAATTCACTTTAGTATATCAGTCATGTATTAACGATATTACAAGAGCATTATTGAGTATTTATTTTAAATAATGCCCATCAACACAAAGTCTGGAAACATTAATTCAGTTGTAGAGGTGTTGCTAATACATCATTTCTGTCAGATATTCATGGTATTTGTCAATGGGGCCAAGGACAGATTCTCTGTTTCAAAACTGTTTCTTGTACTAAAATATTTTGTTCATATTATTACATGCAAAGTAAATTTTTTCTGATTTTGTGTGTAATATATTAAATGAGTACTTGAATGCAGGTGATAACTTGGCTGTCCATGCTAAACAAATGGCTTTAGATTTATCTTGTTTCAAACAGGTTTACCTGTATTTCAGGTAAGAACAGATAATCTGTTTGAAGATTGTAGACTGCTCTTTTTGAGGACTGAACAACAGAAGAGCTGGTGTTAAACATACCAATCACAGCAATAAAAACACTTTGTTGTTTCAGGTTGTAAAAAAGTTTTCAGGGATTTTATGATAGTTACTGTTTATTTTGTTTTCAAAAGATTTTAAATATCAGAGTATATGTTTTTAAATTTGTAATTTAACATTTTATCCACTTTGAGGATTCAACAACTTCATGATAATGGTTTTCTGTTTCAGAAAATTTACTAACTTACTACGTATTACAGATTTGAACAATTTTTATGTTTTGCCCTTTTTTATATTTTATTTTAAAAATATTTGTTTGTTCAGCTAAACCTGCTACTGTTGACCATGTAATTTTTCTGTTACCAGGCTTATATTTATTTTTTGGCATTGTTTCAACAATGTTATTGTTCTTGTTTTGCCGATAAAATTATTTTCTACATTCCCTTAATTATTTAATACTTTTTTTTATCTGTCAAAGAAATATACTTGTATAGTTTAATTTATTTAACATGATCTTTTTCTTGTAAATAGCAATTTTGCAGTCTTATTAGATAAGAAGCATAAAATAAAGATAAAATCTTTCAGAATTTCCATACAACTTTGTGGAGGGAGAAGTTCCAGTTAATTAGAATGAAATTTAACCTTTTCTTGTATACCTACTGACTAATTTGAAATCTACAGTTTGCTAAAAAGAGAGGTTTGCTTGATATAGTTTCAGTTGAAACCTTTTTTTCCAGTTAAAAGCATAAAAGGAAGACTGTTTCATTTGGATTGCAAAGCATTCAGATTATGACTTACTACTGCTTCACAGACAATAAACTTATAGTTCAGTGTTTCACGTCAGAACTTATTTTAAAATATTCAGAACTTTTACTGTTCTTATGAATTATCGTAAACTGAGATCATTTTATTTTTACATAAAGCCCTAGAAGATTTCTTTTTTCAGTGAATTTGTGGGAATGGAAGTAAATCTGTAAGGCTGTCTTATTTGTAATCAAATTGAAATTTTGATTTATATTTTATGCCCAATGTATTTTTGGGCCACAATCTTGTACAATTTTTAAACGCCTGGTTGTTCTAATGAAAAGTATTTTGTATTATTTTCTATAAATGTATCTGTACTCTTGAAACATATTAGTTTTGTCAAAAATATTAAGTTTTCTTCTTTTTCAAAAAAAGGTTAGCTAAAATACCAACAGTCTAAAACAATCTCAGATGTAAGAATTTCAAAAAAAAAACGTTTGCCTCTATAATAAACTATAAGTGACATTCTTTTCAATATTTTTTTGTCCTAATATTTAGTGTAATAATTTATTTTGGGATTTCTAACCCCAAAAAAATATTCAAGTTTAGCACTGTTACAGAAAAAAAAGTTTTTTTTTTCTTTTTAAAGAAATTCCTTATAAGTGATCAATGTGTAAGGGAGGCTGTCATCATTAAAGGTTGTTGGAAATCAGATATTAAAAGCAGAAAAAAATATGGGATATAGAAATGGGTTAAGATTGCAAAGGGAAAAAAATAATGCCATTGTCTAAGAATTGTGAAACAAACTACAAGAGACTAGTGTAGATCAGTCCTAGCTCTAAAACCTGGCACATCCATACTGCAATATTAATAAAAAAACTAGCAAGCATGGTTCTGCAGTAACTTCTGATATGAAAATCCCAAAACAATCATGACAGTGAAACAGTCAAGTGTGATAGATTTACCTGTAAGAGCTTTAAAAAATTTTTTGTGGGCTGTTAGGCTGGAAATTGTTTAAAAAAGTAATAAAAATCTGTCAACAAGTCATTCACAGAGGAACCACATGGAACACTGCACTGGGAAAACTCCAGGTGTTGAAGAAAAAGAAGGCAGTCTGTATGGAAGCTGTATCTAACAAATAAATGAACTCTTTACTGATCATTTCCATCTGCTTCTGCTGCATGATCTAAAATAAATTAAAAAGTTTTTGAAGTTTGTGAATGCATGATAGAGCTGATGCTTCTATTAATTTTAACACTGGCACAATCCTTTTGAAGATATATTTATAAAGGTGGGGAGTTGATTCATGTTAAGAAAATTATCTTCAGGAGCTAAGCTATCTTATAGTAAAATGAGTTATGAAACTTGAAACTACATAAATAGTGTGACCATTTTGAAATGTTTTAGTGTGTAGTAACTCAGTTTGTGAACATTTACCAATAATTATTTGTCTTATAATTACTTAGTTTTAAGTTCACTAAGGATTTTTTGTGAGGGACACACACTAAGAAGCATAACCCATCATCCACTAAATGTAAACAAAATATCAAATGTGGTTAAGACATTTACCTGTTGAAGCTATTAATATTTATGAAAATATTAGGCAACTGTATTGAACACTTATCTTGGAAAAATGAATCGATTAGTAATACTATAAATGCTTTGGTTTGTCATAATTTTACAGCCTTGTCTGCTTCATTCTTAGGCTACAAAGCAATCCTTACAAAAAAATAACTACATACCAAGAAGACTTGGTAGCTTTTGATCTGATTTTTATGGTTTCTAGAAATTCAATGTTTGGGAGAGATCAGTGAAGTTGATTCCTTTCATTGAATCACTGATAGACATCTCTTCTCAGTAAGTAAGAGAAATACCAATATATGAAATTGTGATTTTTTTAAATCCTGAATTGAGAAAAAAACTCATGCTAATGTGGCAAACTTCAATACCATGTAGGTCACCCATGTGGCTTGTAACAACTATTCTCCTCGTATCTATAAAAACCTTAAAAAGATACACTCTGTGATAACCTACCAAACTGGATCAAATATCACAATCATAAATAAAGGAAGGAAAATTTAGTGACTTATAAGTCAGAACAGGAACCATAGTTTTGCATATCTGGCTTACACTAAAGAATGAGGGGATGTTGAATCTTGACGAAATTAGGAAAGCAAAACACAGACGACATGAAATTTAAAAAAAAGTCATTTTAGAAGAAATGAATGTTATATTCCTTTTATGAATAGAGAACCAAAAGCAAGATTGGGCAATTAACTTCTCTAGTAGGTAAGAGAAATATTACCTTTTGTTCTTTTTAAAAACCAAGAACAGACAGTCTGCCCTCAGTAATATAAAATCTTAGAATCACCTACAACATGTCTGTATGTAAGCAGAGGTATTGGACTGTTCATGACCTAGATGAAATGTGGATGATCGTAAATTTTCACACTGAGAATCGTATACGTTTTATTTAAGAAAGTTTGGACCTGATATAAGGTGTTTTAAAATCTGGCATAGAAAATGATCAATGTACTTTACGCTATTCTTAATTGGCAATTTAAACCTGTTCTTAAACAAAATTACATGAAACTTCATCTGTTCTGGATTGTGTTAATTTTTCCTGGAAACCAACACATTGTATACAGATCATTGGTTTTGAATTGTTGAAAGGGGAGAGAGAGAGAAGGAAAAAATGCTAGTTTGCAAGAAAAGTGATTTATGTATGCATTAAAATAAGCATTAGAAACATTCTTTGCCAAGTCCCTAAAACTTTCCTGAATAAAACTTATGATTCTCAACATGTGTATGTCCAGTAATTTTTTTTTTTTCAGTAGAATTATTTTTTAAGAGGCAGTCATTTTAAATAAGGGAATTTCCTTACAATCACTCTGTGCGATGTGTTTGCTGCAGTAGAAATTGTGACATTGAGCAATAGGGTTGTTCATGGTCACCAATGCAGCAGGAAATCGGACACATAATTCTTATAAATTCTGATTAGATCTCGGTAAAGATGTACAGCATATTTTGATCTTGAATCACATTATATTTTTATTTCTAGTTTTCATGTTCCTTCAGTGTTGTAGATGGTCTACTAAAACATGTTTTTCTTAGTCAACTTACTATGCTGCTAATACATCACTGATATTGTGATTAAAATATGCAGCTCAGATCAGCTTACAGATGACATAGATTGAGTATTAAGTGACTGTGGCTCTGAAATCTCATTATGGATTGCAGGAATTTATACAACATATTGTTTCTGTTATTACAATAAATTTAGTGAGTAATAGAATTTTACTTAGAAATAGTGCATCACTTAGATTATGACAATCTTAATGATGATGATACGGGAAATGAGGCTGTGAGCTTTTTTATATTGCAACATGGATATGAAAATATTTGTAACTATGGTTAATGAACAGTCAAGTGTTCTTCAGCCTGCAGAGACTACTCTTCAAGTTACGACAGTCACTGTTAGTTCATTATAAATAATTCACATTGCTTGCGTATGGAAAATATAAGATTTCTAGAAACGTACCCTATCTTTTGAACTATTTAGGCAGTGGAGACACGATCTTGACATGCATGAACTTGAACTGTGTTTACTAGCTTCGACTAGGATAAAACTATTTGAAACTAAAATATTTTGCATAATACAATAGTTGAAACTCTAAAACAAAGAATGTATAGGATGATAATAAACTTGTTAAGTTGTGTTGGTCAGTTGTTTTAGGGCACAAATACTAACTTCTCAATGATATCCTTCAACTGATTTAATTGGCACACCATAGCATTGAAAGAGTTGATTTTTATAAGCTCCAAGATTACGTGAGACAATCTGAGGTTATCCTGTTACAGTTATAAACCTTGGGGTGTGTCTATCTCAAATTATTGGAAGGTAATCAGGTTTACTTGAATACTAGGGAGCTCAGAAACAGATAAATTTAGCTTGACTAGTAAATGAGAACTCTTAAAAAATTAATTTTACCCTATCATCAACCAAGTAGCATCATATATCCCCTAAAAGAGCAGTAACTTGATGACAAAAAATACTGAACTACTCGGAAAGAGGTTTTAAAAATAGGAAATGATAAGGATCTTAAAATATGCCATGCAATATTAAAAAATATTAGAAGTAGTTAACTAAGCAGAGAGGAGAGAGACTATTGCTGTCAAATCATCCTCGTAGATCAGTGCTAGTGGATCCTTCCAGCAAAAGGAAGGATCCAGAACCAGTCTTTATCTCACCTAGTTTGTTGGCTGAGTGAAAACCAGACAGAGGAAGCCAGCAAGCTGGAAAATAAGAAGTCAAATGCTTTTTTGTACTATGAACCATAGCTAAATTTCTTATAATACATTTATAAGTTTACTAATTTAAAAAGCGTCACAAATGGAAACCAACCAAACATAGGAAGCTGTTACATATTACTTGGAAGTAACATTAACAAAGGATGGAACTGCTTCCAAACTAATTGTAAGGGTTGCTTGCTGGGACACACGAACAAGACAAAAAAACTATATATTTTTCTTTTTATCTTAGAAAGGCAAACATTTTTTGCATACCAAAACTTTTAATGCTTAAAGTCTTTGGCACATGTATCTTATCAATGTGTGCGGTATTTTTAGAGTATCTTGCAGAACTGTGAAAAGAAGAAGACTTTTCAGATAGTGTATTACAGACCAGTTTTTACACAAAAGAAAGAGTTTGGTATAGGTTTGTATACCATTACTATCTTTATTATAAAACAATTAATTTGAACAAATACTTGTAGTCGATTGGAGAGAGAGAGCATTATTTATGCCCCTCTAACTTTTTTTATGCTGGAGACAAAGCTGTGACAAACACGCTATAAGTCTATAAAGCAGTCTGTATAAGATAAAGAATAACTCTCTATGGCAACCTATATTTGAATCTCAAAATGTAATTCTTGAACTAAACTCTGATGTGAAATGTCAAACATAGAAAGATGTGATAATATGTACAACGTTCTCTTTCTCCAAGTGCATGTGATTGAAGGCCACACTCATGTCAACAAGGATGTCACACACATTTGGGCAAGCACATTGTTTGCCAGCAGGGCAGATCTCTGCTTCTATTCATAGCATTGTTTATACTACAGTAACTACTCCAGGGGAAACCAAAGCTATGGCCTTGGTGACTCATCTATTGCCATGAATAACCAAGAAGATAGAAACTTAGTAGTTTCCTTGGTCAACGTTCTATACTAAGAATAAACCTAAAACACTGAACATTTTATAAACTATAGGTTAGGGGGATATAAAATTAATGTGTGGCAATATCTTGGCTATTGAAAACTGCAACTTTATTCTGAAATTATTTGCATGTTGTCAAGGATCACTCCTCATCGGTGGTATTGGATTCTCCCATGGAAAGTTTTCTGGAGAATTCCTTGGTCTTACACTACTGTATCTCTTAGTGACATCAGTGATGTACTGGTTGAGGACTATCTGGAGAGTGTTATTTTTGCTCATGGAATTATGGCTAACAAGTGGACGCTAGGAGAATTTACC